TCGCAAAACCAAATTTGTTTGCAAATCAGTGTATTTCGCTAAGCTATGGAAATGATCAGCAGCGAAAGAGCTGTCAACAATTGTAATGTACTACTCACAAGGTTGCTGAAAATCCGTCGACAGCCCACGACCGGTTGCGCCGTTTTTTGTGACGAGTTGATACATGTGTTTGAAATGCTGCTCAATTGGGTCCCATGAAATCGAACTCCTTTTTGCGTGTCCATGCCAGGAATGGTTTTCTTGTGTGGAATAAAAGGGTGTTGCATGGAAAACTGTTCGAACATAATTAAGTTCACTGATGTGGTTAAACGCTGTCCCACGTTCTAAGCCTACCCAACATCTTCTATTGCTTTTCATTTCATCCTTAAGCGATGAGAAATTCTTTCTAATTTGGTCAATTGCACCCTACATTCACCACGGTGCTGTCTGATTTAATATGCAGCCCAATTAAAAAGTACTGCTAGGAGGAAACCGAAGTAACTTGTCATCACACTCGTTTCTCTCCGCGTTACGTTTTCGTACCAAAATACATTGCTGAAAAAGATGTCGTACTTCACGACATCACGAGTATACCCTCCTTAATTGTACATTATGGTCAGCCAATTGGTTTTCGACCGAGCTAAGCGGGGACTCCCGTTTGGACTGTAGGATCCTCCGCGTTGATAATCAACAATCAAATCGTGGGATGCGGTCGTCTCAATTAGCATACTTTTTATTGTCAAACTCATTCTGCTTATTTTTGACCCGCAGTTGGTAGTAAAATGAATTGGCAGCGCTCTTCGTGATGACTTATTCCCAACCTATAGGAAATTTCGAATAAAGTTGGAAAGCATTCACATTTCGGAAGAAAGACGATCATCCACAAGGTTGTACGACGTCGGTTCGCAGAGTTTAATTGGATAAAGCTCTGCATTCTGAGGAACATCTTTTTGACCTCAGGTCGAAACGTTTCCCTCTTTGTTTCTGCCTTTCAGCCACATTCAAGGAAATCACCATATTGGCTAAAATCGAGTATGAAACATCACCCTCAAGGCTCATTCAGATGAAATAGCATGAATCACGTAAATATCAGGCTGCTTTTTGACGCCTATAGAAATGGGTTCATCAGACAGTCCAATACCACTATTATTAGGTCAGTGCGCGGACCATCATGCATTGGAACCATATATGGGGAGTTTCATTTATGAAAATATACTGAGATATCTCGAATATTGTGCCAACTGAAACATGAGGCAGGCCGTGTGCAGCACATTCAGTTGTAGAATATTATAAACGAGAAATTCAGTTGAGTCTGTCGTGAAAACCAAATTGATTTGCAAATGAGTGTATTCCTCGAAAACAGTCTAATTCGGGTTCAAGTAGAGAATAAGGTGGACGGGAACTTGGGAAATGCACCTACTTGGCTAGCCCAAAACAAAGGGGCAAATCCGGTCGTGGGCTGTCGAAGAGTTTTCAGCAACCTTGTGAGTAGTTTCCTTTCTGAGAAAATATGAGGAAGTTGATACCGTGGGCGTCCGACGCATTAACTGGTGTCAAATGACCAAATAAAAGACACCGGATGATGTAATTTTAACCAGTGGACGGCAATCATTAGTAAACCTGTTTAGCCTCATGTGACTCGAACGAAGTGGCGGTGCTTAGGAATCGAAACCTTAGTGAGCAATGCCACCGACTAGCTGCATACTTCTACAAAATGCGACGGTCTGCTTGGCTTGAAAGAACCTCCGAAGCGAAATGCGTATATTCCAAACCCATCATCGATGGATTTTCAACTCACGCCGTCGGGGATTAGATTGTTTAATGTCATCCCATAATAGATGCAGTAAATTTGGTGATCCTCTGAAGGAGGGAATCCAATAGATTTCATTGTTCTGTCCACCTATTTATCAAAACTCAACGTGAAAGCCATCCCTTCAACGAGAAGCACGGCACTTAATTGTCACTTGGACAATCAGTTAAACATGACCGTGCTTCTGGAAAATTAACACTTTTCAGTCGCTTACAGAAGTTTATCTATAGATCAGAGCATACCCGGCGAAAGTTGACCAGCTAGGGCACGCCTTGTCAAGGCAAAAATTACAGTTGAATATGGTGGATATTTTTAATACTCTGTCAAAAATTCTCCAGACTATCTTTTGAGTAAACAGTGTTGACTGCGCCTACCTGATGAGTCCCAAGAAGAGCGAAACCGGTCGTAAGCTGTCGACGGATTTTCAGCAACCTTATGAGTAGTACATTACAAGTGATGACAGCTCCTTCGCTGCTGATCATCTCTATAGCTTAGCGAAATACACTCATTTGCAAACAAATTTGGTTTTGCGAGAAATTCACCTGAAATCAACTGTATCTCTCGCTTGTAATTTTTTCAGGCCCTTTAGAAGGGAGAAACTGATCGTGGGCTGCCCAAGTATTTCAGCAATCTTATGAGTAGTGCATTACTTGTATCTCTGTAGCTTGTTTTTTGTAGCGGGTTATCGCTTTCACCAGGCACCCGTGTATTATTTAGGTCTGTTTGGTTTCTAATTTAAACTATGTGGTAGAGACTTTGTCAGTTGATGCAAGAAGTTACCTGACCATGTTTTTCTGAGGAACAGTTATGTTCGCTGCGCTCCCCTTCATTGCTGCTCATGTTCTTTGCCAGCATTTCGATCCCAAAGAAGGTTCCCGTTTCTCAGGCTGATTGCGGAAAAGCCTGTATAATAACAGGTTTCATTTTCTGATCGCCCAGAGGTGAATGATCGAGTCTCAACTTGATGGTACTCGACGAGTGTCGGCCTCCCAACCAACCTCTGGTTGGCAAACTGACCGTGTTCAGTCAAGCCTCTCATTTCACTTGTCATGTTGTCGACAGAGAAATTCAAAAGTGATTCGTAGCACAAGAGCATTTGAAACCAAGACGGGGTAGCACTTTGGTTTCCCCTTGAAATCTGTTTATCTGAATCGCCCGGTGCTTTCGGGCAGACGAATCTATTGAAACCGATTTCATCTAAAATGTTCTATGCGTATTCATAGGCGAATTCATTCCACCGAAAATGATTATTGTGCAGACGTGAAACGACACTAAAGAACACTTCGCACTCATCGATTGGTCGTATTTGAACTTTCTTCTCTATTGAACCGTGAGAATGGTGGACGATTTCATGAGAGATTCATTGGTAGGACCCTAGATTTAAGATACCCTTTAGCTGTTTGTGGAAACTGGCATGTGCGTGCAAACCAGTTGGTAGCAATAAGTGGAGTAGTCATATAAGGACTGTCCGTATTTCACCTCTGTTAACGAGCAACAGAAACTCCTTGAAATGGCAAGAAAATACCGTTTTGCCTTATGATAGGAAACACTATGAACTACTTTACATTTGTTAGTTTGAATTTAAAAACCAGATTTGAACCTTCACAAAAACATGCGGCGAATGATATGGGACATCGGGATACGTCACGACTTTCTATCAAGTGCAGAAATGATGCGAAAGCTATCTGTATCGAAAGCCTGGACTTAAACGTCGTATCCTTGCAACTACTGAACCGTATAAGGCAGCAAAAGAGATGATCGCATTTTATTGTGAGCAGCTGGAGGCAATGGTTCGCCAGTGGTGATTGCATTGCTGGACCTTTCATCTGAGCACTGATAGCCGCCTCTGTAAACTTTCAAAGGCGGGGTGAGACAAGAACGCAGCAAAAGGATGATCGCATTTTATTGTGAGCAGCTGGAGGCAATGGTTCGCCAGTGGTGATTGCATTGCTGGACCTTTCATCTGAGCACTGATAGCCGCCTCTGTACACTTTCAAAGGCGGGGTGAGACAAGAACCAAAATCCTCTTAGTGGGGAACCTTCTGGGAATGCTTGAGTGTTCCCCTAGCAGGAGGCTTCCTGTATTATGGATAAAGACTGCTCCGGATACCCTACCTTTTAGCACATAGTCATCTCCCTTGACTTGTTTTCATTGGGTTTTGCGGTATGGAAGAAAAGTATGCTTTGATTCTAGTGAAATTCTCGGTCGTGGCTGAAGTTTGATGTGCGTGTGAAAATCGATTACTAATTGATCATTTGATGACAAACGCACACCGCTTTTCTTCGGCTGAATTTCAACCTGGGCACATCAAGTATGTTAAAGTTTCATCATCCTCATTGTCAGCTCTAAGAACCACGTACTTGTCGTACAGTGGTAGTAGCTGCCACAGGTTCGCTCACCGATGATTTGGGGAGGTGGGGTAGGTAGCTTCGCATTGGAGACGGGAGCTTGTAAATTTGTGCGTAAATACAGCACTTTCAATGGACTGTCAACTGGAGGATTGGGAAGGGAGCTATGCATTGAAAGCAATAACTTGGATGCCTGAGCGCCATTTAGGGCGCGACTGGACCATTTCTGTGGCCCGTTTCATGGCCCCCATCTAGGAAGGCGGGAATGTCCAGCACAGCTGAGTTTGCTGGTAATGGCTCTCACACTTCGCTGCCAAGTCATTGTTTGACCACCTCTGGCTCTCTTCCACCCTTCACGAGGTTGTGCGAAAAGAACCCTTCGAGGAATTCGGTCGACTGGCATACGCAGCACGTGGCCAAACCAGCACAACCTACGCATTGTGATCAGTTCATCTATCGAGGGTGAGTTATTTCTTCCGAATGCCATTCGACGTACTTCAGCATTGCTGATCCGGTGTTCCCACCAGACTCGGGCAATGCCCCGAATACATCGATGGTCAGACATTGAGTCTTTTGAAGTCTTCTACGCGCAGCGGCCAGTTTTCTGGTCCGTTAATGTCTCATGATGGCCAGCCTAGGTTAGATCAAATGTAAGCAAGTTTTGAGTCTATCTACACATTCGAAAATCTACCCGCAAATCCTGCGAAAGTTCAGGTGGAGTCCTAATTTCTTTGGACATTTTCATGCTCTCAACCGGTCAAAATATCTTGAACTTTGTACACTGCTCAGAAAATATTCCGTTATCTAGAGGTATGAAAGTGACGTTTCGCAGGGCTCTTCTATTGATTTATCCATTTCACAGGAAAATATTCTGCCGCATTGCGAGCTGCCCAGCAGAATGCATACGAAGATAATGAGAGAAAGTCTTGTGGACCAACCCTCGACGATCAACCTTGCCCAAGAGCTGTTCGACTGGAAAAACATGAAGTAGACAGCGCGGTTGATCTTGATCCGTCAACGAACGTCTTGGCACCCAAGCTATCTCATCTAACAGACACTGGTTGTGCAACCGTTTCTTCAACTAGCAAACGTCCTCGTTCGGCCTACACAAACCAGCAACTTGTGGAGCTGGAAAAGGAGTTTCACTATTCCAACTACTTGGTTCAACTTCGGCGAGTGGAACTCGCCAAACAATTGGGCCTAAGTGAGCGACAAATCAAAATCTGGTTTCAGAACCGCCGCATGAAACAAAAGAAAGAACTGAGAGATGCCGAGAAGTGTAAAGCTAGGTGAGTCTGTGAAATGCATGGTACTTCTTTAATAGCGATCACTGTGAGTGCAGTAGTCAAACGATAGTATTTGGTCACGTCACTCATTCATTCATTCATTCCTTCATTCATTCATTCATTCATTCATTCATTCATTCATTCATTCATTCATTCATTCATTCATTCATTCATCCATCCATCCAACCACCCATCCATCCATCCATCCATCCATCCAACCACCCATCCATCCATCCATCCATCCATCCAACCACCCGTTCACTCATTACTTCACTAATTCACCCATAAAGTAATTATTGAATTAATCCATTTAACGTTAAGAGCCGGAGGGAGGATTCCATATAGGCTTGTTACGTTGAAACTGAAGCCTAGAAGGGGGTCAATTCAGACGATTGTTTAGCCTGGCTGTGAAAACACTATCTCAGTAGCTATGTACGTTGCTTTTATGTAGAATCGTCCTTTGACTTGGTATCAAGAGCCTCGATTGGGAGCATGCTCCACACGTTAAGTTCACGAGTCTATAGAGTAATGAGATTTTTTGCTTAAAGGGCTTGAGCTTGTGGCCCTCGTAGGGCCTTCTCAGTAAAAAAGCCCCTTGATCTGTTCAAACCTCGCTTTTTAAGATGTAGCGGGTGTAAATGAGGCTCCTGAGGTCCAGTAATTGCCACTCCGTAAACGATTTTTGTAGGGAAAGGGGTAATCAGTTTGTTACGTGCCCTTGTGGCTGTTTTAGAAAGTAAGATTGATAAGGTTTAATAAAGCAGGCTTACAAAATCTGAGAATAGGCCCCATTTGGAAAAAAATGGAATCTGGTGATTGTCTGGCGAGAGAATGAGCGACTATTAGGCTCAGGTAAGACGGAAGCTGATGACACAATTACTGATGTGTTTCCAGATCCTCCAAACTGACCAGGAAAAGGGAGACGAGCACCGTCAATTTAGTACTTTAGACAGGAGTTTGAACTCCAAATGACTCAGTAAAACATTGTGAGGTTTGAGTGCAGCTCAAACTTCACTAAAAGGTTTGACGGCGCATGGAGTGTATGTTAGCAGATTCATATGAAATCGCTATAAAGTCATGCTCGTGGACATGCAGTCACTGAACACGCCACTTACATTCCAGGGAAAGGTACTGGAAGTTGTGGAGCGTTTTACGTATCTCGGAAGTTGTATTAGTTCTGAGTGTAGTGTGACAGATGAGGTAAATGTACGGATCTGCAAGGCTCGGGCCGCGTTTTCTAACTTGAGACACCTATGGCGTCAGAATGGTTTATCGCTGAATCTCAAGGGACGTGTGTATCAAGCTACAGTACGGCTGTTTTGTTGTATGGCTGTGAGACTTGGCCTATTCGAGCAGCGGAACTGAGACGTCTTCAGGTGTTCGACAATCGTTGTCTCAGAACCATAGCTCGTGTGGGTTGGTGTCGCTGATCCGGTAACGAGGCCGTTAGAAAGCGTGTTTTCGGTTGTTTAACGGGTACTTCCATTGAAGAATGTGTCCAGCACCAGAAGCTGCGTTGGCTGGGACATGTGTTACGTATGCCGAAGAGAGTGCTGTTTTTCATGTCCAGTTCAGAGTGGCATAAACAGAGAGGTGGCCAATCCCTGACTTGGCAGAGGAGTATGAAGGAGATCACGAAACGCTTGGGTGCTGATGCCACTCGGCTTCCAGGATGAAAACCGTGTGATCCTCACTGTGCCTGGTTGGAGACACTACAAGATATGGCTAAAGTATGGGCTGTTTTGTTGTATGGATGAGAGATGATGATGATGAGTCCTCTTACGTTCATTTGACAGACAACTTTCAAATAGCGATGTTGAAGTAAACGTTGATTCCGGATCACAACAGTGATTCTTGAAAAAGAATTCCACTCTACGGTTCCAGAGATGCTGATAAGCTATTGAAACTGACTTGACTTGAAACTGACTGACGCGAGCGAATTCGGATCTTTGAAGCCAAAGTGCTTCATGAACATTGTGTTCAAGAAGTTTGCAGAAGAGCAGTTGATGAGGGACCTCGCCGACGATCTTGAGGAAGTCTATGTGGACTCCGCAGACAAGTGTTCTTGGAGGCTTCACTCTGGTGAGAAATAAAGCTAGGGTGTATTAGGGAAGCTTCCGTAATCCGCTTTGAGCAGAAGTCATTGTGTCATTCCCGTCGAAATGTCGTTGTATCACCTGTTTCATTGTCCATTCCAGATATTTGCGTAGCACAGACGTGGGACTAATGGGTTTTTAGTGGCCCGGTTCTCGACGGAGATCACCCTTGCACATTGGATCAACTGTGGCCAATTTTCACTCCTGGAGCAGCCATCTCATATCCAGAAGGCGTTCGGAGATTCGGCTTACTGTCGTTGTACTATGGCGTACAGAGCTTTGGGAACTAGAGGATGAGTCTCACCAAGACCCAGTGCTCAGTGAGAGCTAGTTCCTGAAGGAACTGCAGAATACTAAGAGGTTCCACCTGGATGTTATTAACTGATACGGTTGACGGAATAGATAAATGATCCTGCGGCAAACTTTCATGAGCACATACCGAGGCATGCCGTGAAACTAACGTCATGGTCTTGGGAAAGTCGTCCCCTATGTGTCTACTAAACTCATCTACTAGGAGAGAAATTCCAATTCCAAAGTTAGTCCTGCAATCTAGGCAGATATATAAGCGATTTCTTTGCGTCAGAGAGTCCGGCCATTTTCTTACTCTTCTCGTTTCCGTCTTCTAAGCAGATTACAAGCACTTTAGTTGTAGCTCCAGCAATCCACACTGAAGCCGGGGTGTGTAAAGCAGTCTAAATAGTCTACCTGCGCTTTAGCAGCGTTTGCGCTTCCCGATCTACCGGTGGGGAAACTTTAGTGGGAACATCGCCTTGCAAACACCTGCATGAAGGGTCTACACAGTTCACCAGGCTTGACTCGAAGAAAACAACCGTTGTGTCGATGATTTCAAGCCATTTCGTAGAGTCAGTTGAGTTGGCTGGGTACTTAACCCAACGGTTTTAAAAGTTGTCTTCCAGACACTTCGACCGGAAGTGAACGGAATAAAACTGTAAATTTCGATTTATTCAGCAGTACTTCAAACACAGGATCACGGTTGGACTTGGAGGAAGATAACCTAGGTAGCCAAGTCAGTGGGCTGCGGAGTGAGAACTGACTAGATTGGCCGTGAAGCATGCGGGCAGGCTCGACGATGTTTTGAGCCAGTTTATGTTCCAGTGACCGTTTTGTCAAGGTACCATGGAACTTGGAAGTAGAGCACTTCAGTTGACTGATGTGGAGTTGCAATTCCTATGGACGAACTAATCGTCCCGGTCAAGCTGTTTGAGAGTGACGGAACATCTAAAACCAGACCTAAGTTGTAAAATAAGAAAAGCGATTGATTGAGACCCAGTGTTCGCAAGGACCAAGCTTGAATTCACCCGCACTTGATAACACGGTTGACAGAATATAACCCCTTTTCCTGTGAGATTCCAGGAGCAATCCGTTCAAACACAGATGCACTGAGGGATCTACACCTTTGCATCTTCGATGCGTTCATGGGGCTAGGCCTTTGAGCACACCAACATTAAAACAAGTTCTGCAAGATTCCCCAAGCCTTATGGGTTGCCAGTTAGAATCGCTGGTCCAGGGTTAAGGGATTCAGGGTTATGGTGGTGATGACAGTCCTAAGTATTTCTAAAGAACTAAATGGAAGAAACAACAGCGTCTACTTGGACACGATTTGGGCGCATTGGGTGGATCCGACCAATCGGAGCACCATAGAACCAGCTTTAGTTAACTTGGCGAATTGTCGCTTTGCATAGTACTTAAGCCATGCGTCACGTGATACAGGGATGACCGCGATAGCCAGGAACATGCCAGCTTAGATGTATGGAAGTCCTGTGCCTATCTCTGAGATGGTCCTCTATGGGAACAGCATGTTTACACCAGTGTCTCGTTTAACCTAGTCCATCGAACGGTAATTAAAGTGCAAGATTTTATTAGAAGTTTTGGTGAATTTGATTTGTCTATGTAGACAGTTGCTGGTGCAAATCCGAACGCATAAACTAATGCATGGGATGAGCAAATATCACGCATTCTCAAAAAAGTTTGATGACAATCGATAGATTTACTGCTCGACACCATTTCGCTTATGACACAAAAGCTTCCTCAGGCCAAGCGACTAGCTTCCGAGGTTGGTCGAGATTTCAGGCGGAAGGAGAACCAATCAGCTAAGTCAAGCTAACTCTCTGTTGGTTGTCAGCCAAGGGATTTTAGTGTGTCAGAGTGGTTGAAAAAGTGTTGGGCCGATGAGGAAACCTGCATGTGTCCGGGTCCAGCCTACGCTCTAGTTTTTCTGGTTCGGTCCACTTGATGATCCCTCTTGAACGTCGTTTGAACTTTCTGTCTGTCTGTGTTGATCAGTCAGTGCTAATATAGTTGTGTAAGAGAGATGCTCTGAACTTTGGTCGGGTTGGGATTTACACCCCCAACCCCCTCTTTTCGCTAATGATTCTACGTGGATTGACAACCCCACGTGTCACGTGTCAACCGCTTTCCATACGCTCGCCAGTTCCGCACCCTCCATTCTATTTACGCTGTGATGCTCAGTAATTTCCATCGCCTCGGCTAGTGGCCGGTGTGGTGTGAATCGCAGTCCTCGTCTTAAAACTTCCAAATTCCCCATTCTATGTCCCATGTCTAAGGCATATACCGTTATCGCTGAGTCTTTGACCGGCGTTTGGTATACTTCTGCATTCCTTGGTGGGTTGTTAATCCTTCTTTTATGCTCACCAATTCCGGCATGCGATTCCCTGGCAGTTTTTCCTATGGAAACCTTAGCGCAATCGTTGCAGTTAATTTTATACACACAGTCCCTAGTGCTTTCAACCGGCGAGGGATCATTTAATCGCACCAAAACTGAGCGTAGCATTTTTCCCTTCTGGAAAGCTACTCGAATGTTGGCTAAGTTCAACAGTCTTCAAATAGCCTCCGATTTTCCTGCTTTATATGGGATGACTGCTGTGCCAATCCTTACTGTGCCAATTCCTTACTGGATCTAGATACTTGAGTCAATATCTCCCTTAGTTGACGCCTAATGAAACTCCATGGGTATACTGTTTATTGAAGTTTGTTGACAATCTCGATTTGAGCTGCCGTTCAGTCGATCCCCTCTGTGCACAGCGCTCTGAATCGACGAAACACCGATGAGACAATACTGGCGTACACGGGTTTTGGGTGTGCTGATGAAGAGTATAGCGGTTCCCGTGTCTGTTGGTTTCTGGTAGTAGAGCGTAGTTTTTAATTTCCCACTAATCTTATGTGTTATACAGACCAGAAAGGGTAATGTACCTGAGGTGAAACGTAGCCACTTGGCCTGACGAAGCTTTTGTGTCAAAAGCGATACTTTGTCCAGCAACAAATCTACCAACATTCACCAAACGATTTTCGGAAACGATGTCTACTCCATCGATTCCAAGCATTTTTCACCTGGTTGAAAATATCAGGTATGCTTTCAAGAAACACACTCATTTGCAAATCAATCTGGTTTTCACGAGAGACTCAACTGAATCTCTCGTATATGATATTCTACAACTGAATGTGCTGCACACAGGCCGCCTCATGATTCAGTTGGCACGATATTCGCGATACCGCAGTACATTTTTATAAGGGAATATCACAAACGAGAGATTCAGTTGAGTCTCTCGTGAAAACCAGATTGATTTGCAAATGAGTGTATTTCTTGAAGACAGTTCAATATGGGTTCAAGTAGAACATCAGGCTGACGGAAACTCAAGGACTTTGCCTACCTGATGAGCCCCAAGAAGGGCGAAACCGGTCATGGGCTGTCGAAGAGTTTTCAGTAACCTTGTGAGTAGTTTCCTTTATCAGGCATGTTTGTTTTGTCGGTCCCACCACCCTGTGATGTGTTGTCTTGTTTAAACCGACTTGTGTTTGCCACTGTTTAATTAATTCCACTGTTTAAATCGAGGAGTTCCACAGAATGTCCAGAGAACTGCGCATAGAAATGCCATGACTACGCAGAATCAGGTCGATGAACTGATTGGGTAGTCTCAGCAGTCATCAGTGAGCCACACCCGCAGAAATCAGTGATAAGGTTGAAGGAACAGCAAGCATTTGTTAAACGAAGTGGATTTTATTTTTTCAAATAAAAGAAGATGAAAATGTGTTCAAGATTAAAGAAAGTTTTAAAACGCAACTTGTACAGGTTTGACTTGAATATGTCAAAACAACGATTTTCCAAACTTGTGACAAGTGATTCCCCAAGAGGTTTTTTGACTTTCAACAAATTTGCATCATGGAGCGATGGGTTACTTTTTCCAGTCCAGTGGCAGTACAGCATCTCCCACAAGCCTTGAGAAGGTTGAGGTTCCTCAATACACGTAGACTACTTCATCCCCAGTAAATTGCAAACACATTTTTATGCAACACACTTTGAGTCTGATCCAAGGACCTCGACTCGTCAGCCGAGGAAATAGTCAACTTCATATTGCCCTACTTGGTTCACGGAGTGTCAGGACACACCCAGACATGGAAAAAGTACATGTGCAGAGAGTGACTCATTCCCAAGGTCACCATCGCTCCAACACGTTTGAAAAGCGGGCGCGTTAGCGGAGCGCAACAGACACGGCTTAGCAACTTACGACCAGCGTAGTGGGCCTGAAAGTGTTCACGACCGGAACATCGCCATTGGATGTACGGAACAAACAAGGGAACGACCATATTTGGCCATTAAGTCATCCTAAATATATATGTGCAGAAGCTCTGTATGTTCTGTCCTGACAATACAGCCGTGTCCCCGGTTCTGTATTCTCCCTACCGCGTAGTCTGGCAGGCTCAGTGCAGGCGTAGCCAATAGACGGCCACCCACGATACAACAAGGAGTCGATGCGGAGCGAATGTGTCGGAGGAAGTTGGTCAAATGAGCTTACCCGTGAAACATATCAGGACTAACAGACTTAGTACGATCGCAACAGCCACATCAGTTTGCGTCCAATCGTGAACAACATGTGCGTGTAATTCAGCCCAAAGAGTATTCATACATATTTGATTTTCGCTCCATTAGAATACGGGACAGTTATGATCCTGAAACCATGAATGTTAACTTTCTCCCAACGTCTTTTTTTCAGGTACGACTATCGACTTGGTCACTGGTGTCCAAAAGGGCTCGAGTATAGATCAGATGCAATTCACTACAGGCCAGAAATACCACATGACTCTCATATTGATCTACCGGGCCCAACTGGAACTCAGCAATACCATCTGAGGTTACCAACGCAACCTATTGGTGCTTATGATGCAACTAGCAGTTTTCAGCCAAGGTTCCGGCCATCGCTGCAAGCTGGACTGGATGTTAACTACGCACCTAGCCCACAATCAAATTACTCGTGTCAACAACTCCCACAAAGTCCCCCATGTGATTATTGTAACTCCGCAGAACCGACTTATCGGAGTCCGCAACCTCCGTATTTTCCAAGGACAGTTTCATCCAACGGGTTTAAAATCACCACTCATATATACTACTGATTATATTCGAATGTATTTTTTTATAAAAAAAATATAGTAATCAAATGTGTATGGTTGTCTTTTCGTTGCTACCCATCAAAGAAAAAGATTTCCTGAAATATGCTCAACTGAATCTCTCGTTTATGATATTCTACAACTGAATGTGCTGCACACAGGCCGCCTCATGATTCAGTTGGCACGATATTCGAGATATCGCAGTATATTTTCATGAAGGAGACTACTCACAAATTTGCCCTAAGAAGGGCGAAACCGGTCGTGAGCTGTTGAAGAGTTTTCAACAACCTTTTGAGTAGCTTTCCTTATGAAGATGACTTCCAAATAGTTCAGTCCGAAACCTAAGTAAATAGTTGTTCTGTGTAAAAATCCCAAGGGTTCTGTGCTCAGGTTTCCTGGAGGTAACTGAAAAAGGCTCATCGTACTTTTAATGAAGCTAACCCAGCGAAAAAGGGATGGTTCTCCAGATGTTTCAATCCATAACCCAATTAAACAGTAGTTCTGTTCGTACAGAATTTCAACCATAATTTTTTTGGGTAAAACACTACTTAAATCGTGTTTGGAAGCAGATCAACATAAGTCAACCACAAAGCACTTTTCCTGGTTTTGTAACTTGCTCTTTAGTCATTGCGGTTCAATCAGTACGGTCTCTTGAGTTCAATTCGCACACAGTTGGACAATCTGCTGTTGTGAGCTGTTGCAACACCTTCAAATGCGCATGACTCATCGCTTGGTGATCATCTCGTATACCGCTTAGTCACGTAATCAACCTTTCACGTGCTCCGTTCTGCGACTGACTGCCGTCCTTAGTATTCCTTTGCTCTCTTGTAATACGTCAAAATGACAAGACTTTTAGCAGGTCCGTTGCCGCTGTCCTGTCCTGTCCTGCCGCTTCCATGTGCAGTTACGACATGAGCCCTGCATGAATATTTTAAAAGACGCTTTGAAGACTCACTTCACATGCGGTGCAGTGTTTCATCTGGGCCGACACTTTCTGGCAGTTCTTGCACAGAAATCCCGGTGACGAAAGGGCCGACCTATATTGCAAAGTATGTTTACTAGAGCACGACTTATAACGACCAAAGTCTTTCGCAATTTGTCACCACAGGGTCTTCATGAGAACCACAAATTTGAAAGAATATTTCCGAAATGAGAGTCTTCTGTTGCGTGAGTGACTCAACCACTCTCACTGAGGTAAAAAGTTTCATATTCCAGCCAGAAGTTCTCAAAAAATCCATTAAAAAGTGAATTTTTCCCTTCCGTAGAAAGCGTGGAAACCACTGCCCACTACTCATGTTTTACGAGTAGCCTTCCCATTAATTAGAAACTTTGATGCCTCATGAGAAGAGTATTCACAAGAGATTTTTCTACAGTGATTAGAGTCATCTGAAAGTGGAGCAAAAATGACCGTTCGCCTAAAGACTATAGGATGAAATAAGAAAGGGCTCATACGCTCATTCGCAAATCATTTTGGTTTTCACGAGACTCAACTGAATCTCTCTTTTATGATATTCTTCACACAGGCCGAGAGGTCAGTTGGGTCTCTCGTGAAGACCAAAGTGATTTGCAGACGAGTGTATCTCTTGAAAACAGGCTAAGTGGATTGGCGGAAACTCGTGGACTGCGCCTGCCTAGTGAACTCCAAGAAGGGCGAAACCGATCGTTGGCTGTTGAAGAGTTTTCAGCAACCCTGTGAGTAGTTTCCTTTATGAAAATATGCTTCGATATCTCGAACATAATGCCAACTGAAACATGAGGCGGCCTGTGTGCAGCACATTCAGTTGTAGAATATCATAAACGAGAGATTCGGTTGAGTCTGTCGTGAATACCAAATTGGTTTGCAAATGAGTATATTTCTCGAAAGCAGGCCAATATGGGTTCAAGTAGAACATAAGGTTGACGGAAACTCAGGGACTGCGCGAAACCGGTCGTGGGCTGTCGAAGAAATTTCAGCAACCTTATGAGTAGTTTTCTTTGTGAAAAGAAAGGGGTCATTTTTACTAAATGATTTGTGGGTTTTTTAGAGTAAAATTTCAAAATGGATAAGATTTATAACGCAAAATGTAGGGTGTCCGCAGATGGCCAGTCGGCATCCGTTTTCAGGTTGGTTTATCCTCTCGGACTACGCCGGGCGCAATACGTGGTATCACATTTGCTCCCTTTGCATCCGCCTGAGTATCTTGTGCTGGGTGCAAATCGGTAGAAATAAGGCTGAAGGGTGAAGCGAAGAGGACCGTTTTAAAACTATCTACATGGAAACCTTCTGTCCTATAATTGTGGACTCAGGTGGGTACAACGGAGCAATGAGCTCCACAGTGAACAGACACAAAAAGACATGTGTTGGTCCGCACCATCCGTGAGAAGACACGTATAGGGCTAGTTAGTTCTAGCCATCGCTCAGCTAGGAAAGTCAGATCTATCACGGTTGCAGCAATAACTATCCGGAATCCTATAGAGGAAAATGTCGGTAGCTCAGGTAGCGTAGATGGTCGTTGGCTTGTTCGCTGAGCTGGGCGATTTCATTACAAACGTTTCATCACCAATCGAGGTGACATCGTCAATGCGTTATTGGGGAACGTAATCTTGTATAGCAGTGGTTGTGCGTTGAGTGGTGATACGTGTGTGTTAATATACGTGCTGGTAGCCAGGGATGACCTTTGACTGCGATTAGTTGTTCGGTCGGGCGGTTCTACTGGTTGTTCTGTTATCCCGTGTCCTCATTCGCCGATGCCCCCTTAACCTTTGAGCATGGCATTCCACGGCAGATTCGATCAACCGGCGCATTGAACTGGACCCAATTTACGCACCTCTGCGTGCAAAAGTCCAACATTTCAACCGGAACACCCAAGGAGGACCGAATATTGGATTCACAAACAAAGAAACAAGGAACTCCTCAGAGTCAAATCAAAAAAGGTCACAAGCCGAAATTCGGAAGGACAAGGTCACTCCAACATCGACCAGACTACGACGGCGAGGGATGCGAGGGTCACGGGAGCATCGGCGATTGAGAATACGGGATAACAGGACAACCAATAGAACCGCCCGACCGAACCACTAATCGCGGTCAACGTCATCTCCGGCTACCTGCACGTATATTAACACACTACTCTACTCTACTCTCTACACCACTCTACTCTACGCACAACCACCGCTACATATGACTACGTTCCCCAATAACGCATTGACGATGTCACCTCGATTGGTGATGAAGCGTTTGCAATCAAATTGCCCAGCTCAGCGAGCAAGCCAACGAACATCGACACTCTGGAATGTTCCGATTTTTCTTCGAATGGATACATGAAATGTATGCAGTCAGAATGAGATAGGATGCATCAACTCACAGCTCCAAACCAATATGCACTACCAAATAGTACAACTGAAGTGATAATCCAGCAACCCAAATCAGTGGGAACCCCATAAGGCCTGTGGGGGCTGAGGCTGTGATATCGACCTGCACGAACTCATATAATCTCTACGCAAAGCGCAAGCGGATACTACTAGCAGCTTCACTCAGTGGCATCTGGATGCACGCGAGTAATGTCGTTTAAACATGCAACTTGCGCGAAATGGTGGGTAAATTTAAGGAGAACCGAAAGATAGGCACACGAAATTTCGAGGCTTCCCGGGGCTCACTTCAAGTTAGAGGCTCTTCACTTGATAAATTTGCACCGCACTCCGTTCATAGGTTTCTAACATTAATGGTAGGAGTGTCAGGCGTTCAGGCGTGTTGAACAATGATTGGTCCTTAGCGCGCCAACTGTGACCCTGCTTGTGTGAATGTTCAGTACAGTGTAGAGTCCACCGAAATTTTGTTTAAGGGTGCTCCAAAATAGTAAACAGCTCTAAAGACTAAATGAAATGGTCCCGTCATTTATACTGTGAAGGTTAGGTCATAGTTCTAGTATGATATCCAAGGTAGACTGATTATCTACCAGGTCAAAATCAGCTTTTTTGAGAACACTTCCTATGGTTATGTTCAAAGAGGACTGAACTGAAGCTCTCCCCGGAGATACATTTCAAATGAATAACCTATTCAGAAGCCGACCCATGTTCCAGCTAGTACGGTAATCCAGATGCTGCATTACACTACTTTTACATACCGCATGACTCGTGAGGTTCTTCAGAGCTGTTCGGCAGAACACTACCGGTTTTGCCCTGTTAGGGCTCAGCAGGTAGATACGGTTCCCGAGTTTCCCTCAGGCTTATTGTGCAATTACACCCAAATCTCAGGCAACCAAGGGAACACATTCGTTCGTAAACTTCGCTAGTCAGCGAGTGATTCACCAGAATCTTTGCTGTGTGATATTTATCACCCGAATTTCGGGTTCCATTCTGCAAGAGATCCAACAGTCTAGTGAGAATCAAGCCAAGTGAAACCTTCACGGGGCTGTCGACAAGTCTTCAGCAATCTTATGAGTAGTGTGTTATACGGAGGAAGCTTAAACCAAGCGAGATAAAGAAAACGTTTATTTTTTTCTGGCTATACCAACGTGAATTTCCAGGCTGGTGTCTTTCCCATCTATGAATGCAAAGATCAAAAGGCTGGCGGGATGTAGTGAAATATTGTCGTGGAACTTGTGAAAACTTATTGTTGATGATTGCAAAAAATTGCGTTAGATTTTTGTTAAAAAAACACAAGATTTCTTCATTCGATGAGCAAGAAGGGCACTGTACTTCTATCTCAGTCATATTTCACCTGGCGCCCCATCAGCTCTTTGTGCCGAATTTACATCGTATATATATATAGTGCTTAAAAGTCCAACAGTACTTGTAACAATCCGGCTGCTGAGCAAAACAACCATTCAGGATCTCGTTCCCGTGTTCTGTACACAAGAAAGTAATCAACAGAACATTCGCGGTCAAGGAGTTAAAGGGACAACGGCGGAAAAAATAAGTCTTGCGGCCAAATGTGAATTCGCCCAGGACTAGCGTGAGCAGATTACTTTTTTAAAAAGCATTGAGTATTACTGCGGAAGATGATAGTTTACAAGAAGTGCTCTTCGTTT